AGCCCTGCACCTTGTTGTCACAGATGCTAAAGTGACTGGTTTACGCATATTTTTGAACATGGGCATAATATTTGTAATTCTCCAGTCTTCTGGTACCATCCCTTATCTAAGATTTAAAGATTATACCCAGTAACTCTGCAATTTGCAACTTGGTTTCCTCAGATGCATCTCATCCAGTCCAAGTGACTGATTAACTTTAATAACAGACTATATTTATAGTATCTCGGCATCAAGGCTGCATTCACCCGTGTGGCATCAAACTTCCCGAGTAAATCTTGAATCAACGGGTTTAGGGGACAAAATCTCCACTGTTTGGAGTCATACCTGGCACATAGGAAGACGATTGTGGTTGCTGGAGGTCAGTCGTCTCAGCTCCAGGACATCGCTGCAGGACTTCATTAGAGTAGTGTCCTAGGCCCAACCACCTTCAGCTGTTTCATCAATGACTTTCCCTCCAGTATAAGGTCAGAAGTGAGGATGTTCATCGATGATTGCACAATGTTCAGCACCATTCACAAATCCTCAAATACTGAAGCAGTCCATGTTTCAAATTCAACAAGGTCTGGATAATATCCAGGCTTGGGCTTACAATTGACAAGTAACATTTGTGCCTCAAAAATGCCAGGCAATGACCATCTCTAATAAGAGACAATCTAATCCCTGCCCCTTGACATTCAATGATGTTGCCATCACAAATTCCCAGCTATCAACATCTTGGGGGTTATTGATGACTAGAAACTCAACTGGACTCACCACATAAATACAGTGGCTACATGAGCAGGAACACTGCAGTAAATAACTCACCTCCTGACTCCTCAAAGCCTGTCCATTAGCTACGAGGCATAAGCCAGAAGTGTGATGGAATACTCCCCACGTTCCTGGATGGGTGTAGTTCCAGCAACACTCAAGAAGCTTGACACTACCCAGGACAAAGCAACTGCTTCATTTGCACCACATTCACAAACATCCACCAACTCTAAGAAGCATCAGTGTACTATCTACAAGTTGCACTGCAGAAATTCACCAAACATACTCAAACAACACCTTCCAAACTGACAATCACTTTAAACTGGAAGGACAAGGGCAGCGATACATGGGAACACCACCACCTGCAAGCTCTGTACTCATGAAGACAGCCTCAACTGTGATCGTGTGTCCATGTTGCATTACTGTAACCCCACTATAGTGTTCTGTATCTGTAAAATCTTCCTTACTGTCCTGTTTTGACACCATCATTTTGATAACTTGTTATGATCTTTCTACCTTAATTAGTTTGTATAATTTTGGATTAATTGTTCCTTTGCTTAGACCCTTGGCATGGAACTCTTATACCTAGCATGTTATTCCAGCCACTTGGTTTGTCTCCAGCACTGCCTTATTTTTGATTTTTTGTAATTATCTCCCTGGCTCAATTAATTGGATTTTACGTCATCCCTCCACTTGCTTTTCAGCTATTGACAATTTACTCACACCATCTGACACTTTCGATCACCTGCAGAGATTTATTATTCAGTCTGTTGACACTCCACTCACACCATTTGTGTGATCTTTTGATCTCTGTGCCCATAAATTCTGTGCCTGTGTGCTTCTCTTCACTTCACCTGACAAAGGAGCAGCATACCGAAAGCTTGTGATTTCAAATAAATCTGTTGGACTATAACTTGGTGTCGTGTGACTTCTGACCTTGTCGTTCCTTAAGGGCATTTTGGGTTAACTGACAGCATGTGGACTGCCACAGTTCAAGAAGGAAGCTCACCACCACCTTCTCAAGAACAAACAGGGTCAGATAATAAATGCCAGCAAGTCAGCGATGCCCACGACCAACGAATGAACAATGAAAAATTTCCTTTTCATCAATTTTTGGCCCATCTAGGGTCTCATCTACCTCCTCTTTCATTATGACTTTTCTGCATGTTCTTTCATGGTCAAGGTAATAGTTATGAAAGGTTCAACTTCTTTTTCTGTCGTCTTTTTAAAGCCATTGCATCCAGCAGAATGACTAATCGCACATTTCAGACAGATGGAAATTGAGATGGAAGTGCTATGTTTACATTGGTTTTCTGCCAGATTAACAGCAGAATCTCAGGTTTTTGTTCTGCTGAAGGATCTAATAAGCAATTAACTAGTAGGGCAGGCAACTTTATGTAACACACAAAAAGAATAAATTTGGAGGATTAAAAGAGAGTACAAAGAGATGGTAGATAATCAAATATATAATAATCACTAAGGTTACTAATTTAAATTTCAAACAAATATGTTCCAAAATAATGCACTAATAAAACCATGGCTCGATCACCTTAACTCAATGTCATGACATGGCAAAATCTGAATACCTGACAATGAACTGAAATTTTCTACCTTTCCTATGTCCCACATTGAAAGATTTATACAGCATTTATAATGTTTATGTCAGCCTAATAATTATGCAAGGAAGGACACCTTAGCTAAAGTGTTGAGTTGTACCAGTACAGAAACTCTACTGACTGTGCAAAAGTTCAAGTACGGAGGCAGCAAGGACTGCAGATGTTGGAAGCCAGAGTTAATAGATGTGAAGCTGGAAAAGCACAGCAGGTCGGACAGCATCTGAGGAGCAGGAAAGTCAACATTTCAGGTGCAGAGGGAAAGGTCCTGTGACTCATGTAGCACCACCAGCAAAAGAGGGAGAGTAGTGATTTGCCTGCAGAAAACAGCTACAGCTCAGGAGTTCCTTTCACCATCACCTCAATCACTTGCCTATCCAGCCTTGGAAACATTTGTTGATAGGTTAAGATGTCTTTTAATACCCTGCTTTGTAGTGATCCACCCCACCCTATTGATTATCTTCATCCCTTTAAGTTTAATTTTCACATAATTTTCTCCTTCGAATTATTCTGAAATTTGACACGAATTGCTCCCACAGATTTCCTGCTGAGACTATGATTTTGATCGTGATTATGGTTTCAATCCAAAATAATGGGTTGAGTTGAGATGGTAAAGTGGTATTACCAATGTGTTCATTGTTAGTTAATCTGCTACCCTGTTGTTAGGAACTGCTGGTACTCAATGCGTAAAAATGACAATCATTCACAAATATCAGCACTGAAATGTAAAAATACCATGGTAGAGAATTTTGATTGTAGTCCAGACATATGATAAAATAATTCACAGCTTCAATAAAACATACGTAACATGAATTTTATATGGACAGCAACATGAATTTTTTAATAAATAAAACACTCAGCACATTTCAACCATTATTGATGATAGCGAGCAAAGTATATAATGACATATTTACACAGATAAAGAAAACCAACTAAACCAATCACTGAATGAAAAGAGAGGATAAATGCAAATTCTATAAATTAAATCAAAAGCAACTGGAGGGGATTTTTTTTAGATTTTAATACAATAATTAGAAATCCAGTAGATAAACAGGTTTCAAAATGATTATTTACTAGTCTATGATTTAGTTTGGAAAACAGGAAATACCATTTATTTTATTGTTAATTTCTACTTGCTAGACCTGGATATTGAACCAAAATGCAAACTTAAAGTAATACTGAATTGGCCCATTTGTTAATTCATAAGCCTCAACAGTGGTCTCTGGCTGGCCAGAAACAATTGGCCAATCATAGATCTGCATCTTCTGGTTCCTAAAAAAAATTAGTCAAGTTCTACTCCTCAGAGGATCTAATTGTGCAAAGGTACCTCTTTCTCCTTTGCTTTTCACAGGGTTGGAGTCAGAGGTAAGGATGGGACTGACATCCTGAGTCACACACTTGTCCTTCATCTGTGCCTCCTTTCAACCCAGATTAGGGCAAATGGAGTCCCCAACTTGGCTTTCTCCCTTGCTAGATATAGATAATCAGGGAGGTGGCATATTGAGGCCCTTAAAAGACTACTAATTGATCACTTTAGGAGACGAATTGCTGACGAGTTGAGAAAATCCCTAATGAACCATTTTGCCCAGGACTTAACTCATAAAGCGGACAAGTATCGTTCCAGGGTCAACTTGTGCAATTATTTCCCCTTGTTTTCATCTCCAGGGAGGGGAAAATTGTACATCATTTTACCTGTTTTACTGCACAGCCACTCTTTTGTTTGATGATCAAACATGTTTTAAACTACAAGAAAATATTTTGCATAAAACACTTCTCACAATATTTCAATAATTTAATAAGGAATATTGTATTGTATCAACGAGAAGACATTGATAAAAAAAAAATTGTTCCAAAAATCAAAAACCGATTTAATTTCATGGTGCTCTCAGTGACTGTGTATAAGAGCACAATATGACTCAACTGTTTAAATAAGTTTTCAAAAAAAATCTTACAAATTCTTCATAGAGGTCCAGACAAAGTAATGCTTGCAACCAAGGGGTTAAAGACATTAACCAATAACAGTAACCCATTACACAAGGGACTATATACTGATGACCAAATGAATATCACTTCATAAATTGCAAACACCTAAAGGCTTGTCAAAGATGTTGCCAGAACCTGCCTTGTGGTTAGCACTCAGCTCCTTCCTGCCTGACCTATTATTTGATATTTGACCAGTTGGTTGCAAGACACTTGCTCTTTCGAGCTGAAATGTCACAGGGGCTTCGTGTCAACTCCCTGACATCTTGGCCTGACATGAGCCTTTTACTTGTGTGTGTTACAAAGCAGAAAATGCAGGGCAAAAGCTACGGTTCCAATACGGTGCCTGTGTTTTTTTTTGATGGGGGTGGGGAAGACGGGTTGTGTGGAGTAGGGGTTAATTGACTATGAGATTTGAAAATTCTTGTTTCTATGTTTTTCTTCTTTATTTAATCTTCCAATATTTAGGTTTGCTCCCATTTCTGGTTTGATGCTTCAATATATTCCCTATCAGATGTGGTACGTGGATAGGTTGAAAATTAAGAGGTATACTCTATCACTTCAATAAAAATGAATGGCAATCTGTACATGCTTGTTATGAAACAAGGTGAACCCAGTGACATGGTTTTACTCTGTTATAACACTCCACATCTGGTACTGAAGTGTCTAAATTCAGAATCGGAGTTCTGCGGTGCCAGTCAGCATCTGGTGCATGACTCGGGGTCAGTGTGATTATCTTAACTGCAATGGTTCCAGGCTACTGAGCCAGTTTCTCTGTGTACAAAGGCCAAAGTAGCAATTACTTCAAAAAGTCTGCGAACATATTAAATGGATTAGTTGTAACAGTGACACTCATTCAGGAACTGACCTTGCACAGTACATAAACATGTCATCTCCATTCCTCTCTGTACAGTTGTTTCACCTTTCCTTATCAGACAATAACTGATAAAGGGATGAGATTGAGGGTCTGTAGGGACCAGATCCAACAGTTAACTCCGTACATTCAACTAGGCAATGCTATCATCATGTAGCTCGGTGAGAGGCAATCTGACCTTCTCACATTGACCAGGAGTGACATTATTGTGCTGAGAAAAACCAGTCACATCATTTCTGCTCTGCACAACCTGTTTAAAGTTTGCAACTAAATGCTTGTCTTCAGTTCAGTTGACAAGAGAGAAGAGGGGGCTCAGTGAACCATGGCAGGGCTGCCATGAAATGACAGGAATCATTGGTATACATTTCAAATAGCTTTAGTGATCCTATTAAAGTGCTGCATCCTACTTTGAAACAGACATGTATAAAAACCTTTGATAGATAGAGACTGAAATGGCTTATTGATTTCAAGCCTATGCAAAATTACTTAAAACGTGTCACTCTTTTGCATTTAAAATACAGCTATTCGATAATAAAATGAAAATTAAACATAAATAAGTAAGAGATGATCTGTTTAACCATACATAGAAGCTCAAAAAAGGTTTTCAATCAATTATTCTAACACATTAATACAAGGTTGCTTATAATTGCCCTCATTTCAAAAGAGGTGATGTTTACTTAATTCAGCCAACTGCAAAAAAAATAGACTTTACAATTGTAATCTAAATGTACTATGGAAACCATCATGTTCTGTTTTCAAGGATCCAGTAGAGTGACTAACACGGAGAGAGGATGAAGAGTAGGAAAGTGGTCTGTTTTTCCGTGGGGTGTCTCTCAGAAAACTGCATGAATTCTCCATTTCTGGCTGCAAGGGGGCAAATTCCTGGCTGTTCCTCTTCTCTTGTGATAAGACCATTTGAGAATGGCAGGTGTATGGTTGATCTAAATGGGTTCTGATGGACTGCATTAAGAAGAAAATGGGGGGCGTGGGGTGGGATGTGAGGATGGAGAGAAGGGCGGTGAAAGAAAAGGAAGGGGAAACACACAAAAGATTTAAACAAGTTGTATGAACTGTGCAGTTACGAATCTAGGTGCTTGCTTTCTTCTACGCAAATCTATTCTTCCCACTGCTATAAAAAAAGTAAATTAACCATTTTGTACAACATGGGGCCATTTACAAAAAAGATAGAAAATGCAAGCACAGAAAGTGACTAGAATGCTATATAAATTAAAACTTGCTACAGTAAACACTGATTTTCCAAAGCAAGAGCCCTAAATATCTGATCTCAAAATTCTCTCAATCCATATCCTTCTGCAATAATGGGAAAGAGATAAGAGGAATGTCTACCTGACTGATTTTCATCATAACAATGTTATGATCAAGTCTCAGATGATAACATACATTAGGTGTGAACTTCCTTACAACTCTCCCAACACACTAGCAAAACTGCAGTATAAAATGTGATTTTCTGCTGAAACTCCTGCAAAGTTTCACTGGCACAGCAGGAAAAGCATCAAGCAAATGTACTCCAGCTTTAGATTCCCCATTTAATTCACAAGTATTATTAAGTGTGCCTTTTAAACAACATTTTTGAATGGATTCCCAATATGGCTACCTAAACCAGATTTATTCTGATTTTGGCCAATGAATAAAGAAGCAGCATCTGCAACAGTTGAAAGGGGGAAAAAAAATTGAGTTTTAACCTGCCTTGAACCATTTCCAAATAGATTTAGAGCTCCTGTATGTGATAAATGAAACTTCCCCAACAGGAGACATCAAGGTAAAATGCTGGGAGGCATTACTCAGAGTTGAAGGGGAATGTTTCTCCATCTGTTGGCAGGAATTTTTCCAAGGAGTATAATTTCTACAAGCTTTGCAGGGAGGCATTCAGTACATGTTCTCTTTTCACAGAAAATTTGAGCTCAGATCACTCTATCCAGTCAGACTGCTGTCAGTGCAAATGAAAATATTTTAAATACAAGATTAATAAATAAAAAGGATTTTAATTATGCTGTTTTCAGTAACATCTCCTTACGTCTGTAAAATTATACCAAAACCTCTTTACAAAGTTTGTTTCTCCTTACCAAAAGAATTATCTCCATTCCATTTGTAAGAGTTCAATACTTATTAGATTACAAAAATATTCCCTGGTTCTTTTCCAAGTGGTACAATTTGGCCTCTACAGAAACAGTTACATTGGGCTCTGGAAAAATAAGTTCCAAGACTTTTCCCCAACTATGTAAAATGGAAGATGTTAAGCCGGACAAAGAAAGTACAAACATAAGAGTACAGTTTCAGATCTCCGCATATTCCTACACATACACTCAGTATACATTTCAACCATTCTGGCATACTTCTCTATTATGACAAGATCGATGAGCTTGAAGTTGACATTATTATGTGTACTGAAAATTTGCCAGATTTCATCTAGGGAATAAAATTTTCTATTAAATACAAGAGCAAATAATTCAAAAAACAAGTCACTTCTAAATATACCTGGTTTTCTTTAAGACTTGTTTCTCAACTTGATTTAAATGTTTTTAAATAATTCTGTTCTTTCTCCTTTATCACAGCACTGAAATCACTAAAGTTCCCTTTCCTTCATTGAACCAGCTTTTGAATTGCATTTTACTGTCAGAACATTCTTTTCACATCAAATAATAAGAAAGGAGAAATTGGACCATTCACCATCAATGAAAAGCAATCTCTGCATTAGTGAAAGGGGTTGATTGCATGCACATCTTAGCTGAAGATAACTTGTCAAATTTATTTTGATCTGATTTGTCTTTGAGACAGATTTGTGCAGGTAACATTCTGTTTAAGAAGACATTATTGCGTGCAGAAATGAAATGCATGTCTCGAACATTCGCAGTAGGCTACACAAGGAATCTCCAACATGTATTACAAGTCAGACTTATCTATTCACTTCACCATGATGAATCCACACAGATGTTTAAGTCTAAATCATCTGACGATTCAACTCAGTAGAATTCTTCATAATCATATGTGCAATGTGATCCTTTCTGCCCCTCTGGGATTGTGACATGGTAAGTGGAGAGGCCGCAACAATTTCTACAGACAGTACTGTCTATGTTTGTTGGCAGTAATTATTCAGATCAGGAATCCTTCTTTCCACAAGCATTTCCATTGTCAGACACAACAATGTTTCTGAATGCCAGTTAACAATTCCCATCATGTCAAAGTGAGCAATAGATGATTGAGATTTCACTTTAAACTTTTTCAGCTACTAATTGTTAAACCAGATTCTTCATGAGGAACAAGGTCGAAAACAATGTTAAACTCCTTTGCACGGTTCACACAATGCCAGAATCTATGGTTTTGTCTCCATGGTTCTAACATTTTCACCACATTTTGTGTTCCAAGTTAAAATGAAGCTGTGCGAACCACAACTTGCAAATTTCAAATAAAATTAAAAGGTAATTGATGTAATCTACCGTGAAATGGTAAACATTCACACAAGAATTAAAGTTCTAAAATCTTAAAACTGTTTTTACTTTGTTTCTATAATTAATGACATACTTTTAAACATTTCTATTGTCTGCTCGTTCTGTACCTGTTTTCTCTTTTTCCCACTAGAATAGGTGTGAAAACAGTTTATCTCTGTATAATTCTTTAATCTGGATTGGACAGCTCTGACCATGGCTTTAAAACCAAGGAATACAGATTTTCCATCACAGAATAATAAAAAATCGCATGATGTGAATTACTAAACGAGTATAAAAAGTGTTACATATTTTAAAATTTTATTCTGCAGTCATCTGTAAATTGCAATATTTAAGCTATATGAATTTGAGATTAGTCTTTTTACAGGATTTCAGATGATTTTTACCATAAATTATGTTATCTGACTAACCACGACATCAACTTGTGATACATTACAGCAAGAAATGATGTTACCTCTATTGAGACTAATTGGAGAATTACATCGTTAAGCAACATTCTCATACCAACTGATTCTTGTTGCTGCTTGATATACCTCTTGCAATAACATAAAAGCAAACAAACTTTTAAAACAAAAAGTAAAGTATGGCTGAGCTTTGTCACAGGATCAACAGTAATTATTTTTACTAGTTGATTATAAAAATTGGTCTATCAAAATCCAACATAAATATGTTGTGTTTCTCTAGTACTAATTTTTGTAACTCTGATCATCCATTCAACACCAAAAACCTGGTCATTCCAGAAATTCATGAAGTCTCTTACAAATTTCTTTCCCATGAACACCTTTTTAAGAAATATTTAAATTATTTTGGTATTTAGGTGAGATTACAGTAAAAATACAAGATATAAAACTTTAAAGCAGAAATTTATTCAAAACTCGTGATCTAATTCAGTAATTATTGGAAAAATGCTGCACTTTATTTCTTGTTGTTGAAACAAAACTCATTATGAATTAAAAAAAAGTTATCATACAATAAGATTTGTTTATTTGTTAAGTAACCAAAATGAATGTGCTATTGAATACTTTGCAACAAGGCATATTATGAAGCATCCCCAGGTCAGGTATGACAAATAATACAGATTATCCTAAATGGAATCTAAATCATGGTCTTAAACAAAAATATTCATTAGACACACCACTCCAAATTATCTATTTGCAAATTATCAAGTAGAAATATTGAACTGGGAGCACATTTAATAGTATATTTGTGCTAAAGGCACAAGTTATTTAGGAATAGATAGTGAAATTCCCATCAGAGGCCTTAGTAGCCATTATGAGATTTTGGGCAAAATTTGCTCTTGACATTGGAGTGGAAATTGATGATAGCCATTTCATATTGCACCCAGATTTCTTTTCCATTGGCAAATAATGGAATGTTAATTTTCCATTGCCCATGGTAATCCTACTATCAAAGACCAAATCCACCCATCTGGTTGAAGTAGAATTGTTTGCAAACAATTCTGGTGCTGGCAGATGAGAGGAAAGTCTCTTTTATAGTGGTCCCAAAACAGGAAAGGCTATATAATTGGACAAGTAGTTTACTTCTCAACTGACAAAAAGAAATGTTTAAAATTCATTAGATTTGGCTGTACTAATGCAAGTATATATCAATGACAGTGAACCCAATAATTTGGCAAATTGAAATGAAAGGTCTTTTTTTTAAACAAAATCACATTTAGGGAAGGGCATTCTTTGTACTGTAGTAAGCTGCAGTGCAGTTTAGATCTTAGTATTGCTTTGTAAAACAGAAATTCCCTTTACATTATTAGCCTTGGTGAAATACTGACTTAGCATGTTACTACTTGGGTCATTAAAATGTTATTAGATTTGTAAATCTTTTCAAAAGTCTTCTTCATGTAGATTTTTAATATTATGCTATTTTATGGCTTGTAGCTATCTGTAATTCACTGAACTACAAAATTCAAACTTTTTTTTTAAATGCTCCATGGCTTATTATTTTAAGTGCTGTATAATGAGTTGAAACAAATTTCCTGTATTTTAAAATGTAAATTAACAAAAGAGGATTGCATTTTTAAACTTAATTTTCCAATTTAATGGAATCAACTAATATCCTATTTGATATTATAAATCTCTGTCTACAAATTTGCATTTCATCCAGCATAATTTTTTTAATTTAATGGTGAATTTTGTAAAATTAGAATTATTAGTCAAATATTTAATTTAAAGGAATGGTTGAATATAACTATTTATCTTGCATAGTGGATCATTGGGCTGTTTCAAGTAGAGAAAATACTTCCCAGTTTGTTCCGTTTTAACATTAAATTATGCACATTTTTTTTCACTGAAAAGATTTAGTTACTGGTTTGGTGCTGTAAGAAAGTAATTTACTTCTAGAAGTTTACATCATCAGGTACTGCTACTTCTAGTGTAAATAGTTGAGTAGGTAACATATTTTATTCATCATATAAACCCAGAACGTGTTAAGTACATTTATTTGTATCGTCTGACTAAATTATCTTGGTATGTAACAATATAG